GCTCTATATCTCCCTATCTGCCATTATATCTCCGCTTATTTGTCGGGCTTATATACTAAAATAGAGGGCGTCTAGAAAATACTAGAGCTGCTAGGAAAAGTGATGATCCTTATAGAAACTCATGACGTGTTACCAGATCACGCGACTTCCGCTGTCGTAACAATAATGTTACTACATACACAGGGACACGGTTCGGCTGCCATATTTACAGAGTTTATTTTGAGAAGTAAACAAACAGCACGTGACTTTTGACAAGGTATGGTGAAGGTTTTTAAATACCCATCTATACGTCACTTTGTTATGTTAAATTATTCGAAATATTTTGTAACTTTAAGTTAACATTACATTATCCCCCAGTAATTATAGGCTTACATCAGTTGGGGGAAAATTTTCGAAAGTCTTATAAAAGATGCTTTGCAAAGTCACTTAACAAAGTTTAGAATTTTAACCCATAGTCAATATGGTTTCACTAAGGGAAAATCTTGCCTTACAAATACTTTGACATTCTTTGAGAAGGTTACTACTTATGTAAATAAGGGCAAGGGTGTAAATTTGGTGTATTTGGAATTGCAGAAAGCATATGAGAGTATTAAAGTTATTTCCGTCAAAATTATACTTATAATTCAAATTATGATAAGTCACATGCATTATCTTTCATTTATTATAATTAAAACCCACCTGCCATTTATTCACCAAACTCTAAGTGATCCAAATCCCTTTGTAAAGCAGCGGCATCCTCTTCACAGTTAGCAAAACCCAATACCTTATCATCAGGAAGTTTATGTAATTTATTGACCTTTCTTACCCTTTGTCATTGATGTAAATCAAAAAGAGCAAATGTTCTAAGACTGAGCTCTGGGGTACTCCACTTGTGACATTAATCCAGTATGTCTGTACTCCATTTATGAGAACTCTATGTGTTTTTACATCCATCCACTCTTCTATCCAGTTAGCTCATTTATCTCCCACACCTATAGAGATAAGTTTTACTAGCCTTTTATGTGGCACCTTGTCAACTGCTTTCAGAAAATCCAGATACACTAAATCTACACCATTGCTCTCATCTTTTACTATGTTTGTATTTTATCCTGTTTTAAGTCCTAGGTATTGTAAATATGTTCTCAAACATAAACATCAGAATATAATGAGAAGAGGAAATTCGAAGTTGTATGGAATAGGTGTGTCCATATACAGCCATATGTAGAGTATAGAGCTGGTTGTTAACTATAATATAGGCCCGAAAAGCTTCTATTATTGCCCATAGGTCTGTAGTTATTCCACTTATTTTGCTCTTAAAAGACACAAGTGCACTATTAAACCTTACCTTTGAAAGGAGTGAGGCTTAATAAGTTATATTTGTGTGTGGATCTCTGTATTTTACCGCCTGATGACTTATGTAATGGCTGTAGTTAGGTTTATAATGAATGAAGAGATTCTGGAGAAAGTATACCTTGTTTACTCGTCAAAATTCTCAGCCTCGTTCTTGCTACGACTTTGACACACCAAATAAGGAAAACCGTGTCCCTGTATATTAGGCTCAATGCTAAATCGTTAAGCTTAACTTACTGTTATTTAGACAGTATCACTTGGTTAAAGAATACAGAAGTTATTATATTTTAAGAATAAAAAACAATTACCAGAAGTTTAGGTAAGCAAGAGGAATATTTATCTATCTTATGCATTGAAATAATTATTTTTTCATTTGGTAGCTGCTGAGAATTTAATATATTAGCAAACTATTTAACAACTGTAATAAGAAAAATGAGGTGAATCATACCTTCGGAACTGGTTATTTATAGTGTCTTAATTAGTTAATAGGAAATTTTAGCGTTAGATTAAAATATGAACCATCAAATTTCTTAATTTTTGTTAAGTATAAAATTATTGGGTGAGTAAAATTGAAAACAGAAAATAAAGACTAGTAAACTTCAAGTTCAATATGGTTAGAGGCAGTTCAAGGAAAGGTGGGGCAGAATTTATAGGGTAAGAAAGGTGACTGAATTGGGTTCTGTTTGAGAATTGTAGGATCGATTGTGATTTTCAACAAGAAGGTTGCTACAGGAAAGGAACTGTATATAGTTAATGTGAGGGTGGCTTTGGGGAAGAATTGGAATTCAGTTTACAAGAGTGTATAGTAGCAAAAATGTTAAATCTGTAGAGACAAATTTATTCAGTATTCAGATACCATACATTAAGACATTTGTAACTTTTGCTATTTTCGAACAGGAACGAGATCAGCAAGAAATTTACACAGCAGGGACTTATTAAATATACCGATGGTTATTTGTAGAAAGGAACGTAGAAAGAATAGGACTAGATCTACATGCCAGGTTCCAGACTACAGGACGTTATAGAGAATGTTTACAGTTTAATTGTTGGCAGCAAGGAACATTCTCATTTTCTAGTGTATCTATGAGCGAATAATGTTGGATATTTTAGATCAAAAGAGCTGATTAAATGTATAAAGAAATCTTTAAAAGGTTTAGGGATAAAAATAGAAGTGTGACTCTTCGGAAGTGCTCCCTCAGATTAGATGGAGGGTTCAAGGCTTTAATGAAAGAGAATCGGGAATATATTTAAATGAATATATAAATTCTGTATTTTCAAAAAGTCATTTTTGACATATCAGACAAGATTAATCATTAGTTAATTAAGATAGTAAGTTAAAAGGTGAGATGGGACAGATATGGTATTTGTTTTAGATAAATTGCATTTAAATTCAAGATCGGTGTGTTCCCAGAAAGAGAAAAAAGGATAACAGGGAGGATCAAACACAGCTGGCTTACTAAAGATATGACGGAGAGAAGCAAGTAATATATACTAGCATATAGGTTGAAATATTTACATAATTATATGAAGGCTATGCATTTGGTTAAAAAAGAAATTAGAAAATCAAAAAGGACTTCTGAGAAACAATTGACTGATCATGCTTAAACTATAAGTTAAATGTAATAAGAATTTTAATTGGGATTTGGTCCTTAAAGGATATTGATTGCAATATATTTGTTAGAGAACATAAAGTGGCTAAGCTTTAAGATATTTTCTAATGTTTTTTTACGAGAAGATATTATCAATATTCCTGACCCTGAACACTCTGTAGGAAAAACTGGAATACACCTGAACCATAAAGATATTAATCACTTGGTGATAAGTAGAAATATATGAGTTTGAAAATAAAGCCTCAGGGTGAGGCTTTAAAGGAAGGTACAAATGACATATGTATCACTTTCTCTGTTATATGTGGTAGGTCATTAGGCAATTGGAGATATTCTAATGCTACTACTGCTTCTGATTAAAGGGGGTGTTGCGAATTGCCATGGAAGTATGTCTTACTTTTGTACTGAGAGAAAGTACAGAGAGTCTAATAAAAGAAACTTTACAGAATCATATGGTGGAACATGATATCATAGAAGAAACCCGGCATGGTTTCACGAAAGGGAAGTCTTACCCTATTAAACTTGTATTTTTTGAGAATGTGACGTTTTATCTGGAAGATCGAAAGAGTGTGGACTTAGTGTACGTTAATTTTCAAGAAGTTTTTATAAAGTTTCACACAAAAGATTAGCTACGACAGTCACAATCAAAGGTTGGGGAAAGAGTAGATACTTGGATTGTGGATGGGAAAAAGCTAAAGGTTGTTATTAATATAGTATGTACCCTTTTTTTAGTGAAGTGCAGCAGTGGTCACTGTTATGGCCTTTGGAGTTTCTTATTTACATTAGTAATGTTGATAATAGCATAATTAGTAAGATAATAAAGTTTGTTGAATATATTAAACTTATGTATTTCTAGTAGTATTAAGGGTATGAGGTACTAAATAATGATCTGGATCAATTGGTAAATTCGACAATTATTTAGTAAATCAAGTCACATTATTATAGAAGACATGTGGATGGTACATGTGTTACTTACAAACTTACGTGTAGGAAGTATTTTAATAACAAACAACCAAAAAGAAAGTTTACAGTTCAATGTAAGAATCTAATTTGTTATTATTGGATACTTTACCTTATATTCGACAGGATATTTTTTTATGTTTGTTTCTTTCATATATTCAAGCAAAGCTACACAAAGGCTAATTGCGTTAATCGTCCATATTTTGGAACTGATAGTCTAGAGGAAAATCAGCTACTGGACAGCATCCTCGGTCAACTCGTGGACCACTCTAATAATGAGATTTTTTCGTTGATATTATAAGATACTCATGGTCCAAAAGTGCGGAGCACCAATTGTTTTGCAGTAATAAAACACAAGACTGTGGACCATCGGTTCGACAGTCCGGAAAACTAAATACCAGACCGCACTACTTTTGAAATAATTGTATGTCGTAAACGAACTATTTATTTCGCAGACTTTATACTTACTCAAAAAACTAAATGTAAGTAATTATTCTTTATTTCATGATGAAATAAATCACATTTACCAGTTTTTGAAATTCTAGGAATTTAATATTAAAAACAATATCAATAAAATGCTAAATGCTTTGACTACTCCAAAGTTCCGATGATTGGCATTCAAAATCAACCTTTATAACATTTAAAAAAGAAATTCATTTTAGCATTAGTTGGAGCTCATCTACAGGTTTAAATCTGATGTCTATTGTAAGAAGATTTTTTTTTCATTTTGAAGATATTATACATAATAATAAAACTGTTGTTCGTTATTATAAAGTTGCATGTCTCTATTGTTCCAAGTAAAATGTAGGCTCTACTATCAGGTGGTGGTCAACTCATACAAACGAGTATATGCCTGATAAATCTGAATTCATCAAAAGTTACTCGAAATGTTTAAACAAAATTTAATTTCGCTGTCACTACTGGTAATATTATGAGATGAATAGGAATAACAATTATGAATGCGTAACAGTTTTTAATTGCAAATAGGAAATAAAAGTTAAATGATCAGAATATTTGCCTTGAAGTTGTAAACTAATAAACTGTAATTCTCTTCTCTTATTTATATTTGTGTAAGTAAAATGTTCCAGGTCGGATTGTGCTTACCTCTATAGGAGTGACTAAGACGGGGCCATAGCAAAAGATATATCCAAAAGAATAAATCATTCCATAGGTGAAAACTGTAGCTGCTAGACTATGTTGAATACTCCAGTACGTCACAGTTATGCCAAAACTAACAAATAAATATTAGAAATGAGCAAAAGTATTGTATAACATTTTAAGATTCTGGATATACCTCAATTACAAGTTTAATTAAATTCTTTGTTGTAGCATAAACAGTAGAATCAAGGAATTCCTCTAAACTAATTGTAAATGAGATACACCACAATTTAGGCCGATGGATATCTATATATGGCAGAGGCTTTACTTGGATGAGTTGGGAAATTGCTTTAAATTTAATATAGACCACATAAGATAATTAGCTAACTGAAGTTTCTATTTTGATAAATGTTTAACTTATATTTAATAGCTTCTATGTGTTTCGAAGGTCTTTTGTGACACAATTTGTCGACATTCTTTTCTTCTTTAGTAGTCAACATATTTTGCTTTTAAGATAAAAGATAACTAAGGTATATGGATTTTGTTTTTTCCAGCGATTCTCGTATGTGTAGACAAAATGCAATCAAACAGTGAAGTTTTAAAATGTTTCTAAATTAGGGATGGAGCCAAATTACTTTTGTTTTCATTAACTGGGTAATTTTTTATAGTACAAGTCTTCTGGCTGGTGAAAATTTAAAAAATGTTTTCTTCATCGTTTCTTTGGAATTTATTTGGCTATGGAAAGACTCGCGAGGAAAGCTAGATAGTGACCTTATTATAGTTTTGGACTATGAAAAAGTTAAGGGAGTTCTCGGTTGTAATGCAACTTTGCTAACATAATGAATATTGTCAGCTTGTTTAACTATTTCGTTATAGAGACATTGTCGTTTTACTTCATAATTAGTCCTATACATATTCATCATACCACACTGCCATTATTTCAATATTTTAAATTACTAACTTGATAAAATCTTACCTGATCATACAAGAACCAATAATAATGCTCCATCGACGTCCAATCACATGACTTAATTTCCCTCCAAAGTAAAGGAATGAACACGAACAGTAATATGCATAAAAAATCCAGCTAGTATCTTCGTATGTTGTGTTTTTATCAGTTCTTTGTCTCAGGTATGAAGTTAAGTAAGGGGTAAGGTTTCCAAATGTTAGTACCGTACCAAGACAGAGATATATCAGAAAACATCCCCCGACTGATAAAAAGGGTCGAATTTCCATTTTTTCAAGTTTCCCAGATGTATATATTTATACTTTTTCTTATTCAATATGCACTGGAAAATAAAAGAATATGTGATTCTCCAGGCAATATCAATATATCAAACTATTACGCTGCTGCCGCCTTACAGGCATTTTTTATTCATTTTAACAGTTATGTTGATATTTTGTAACTTATGAATCTAAAAGCAACAAGCAATCTATATATATAAACACACTCACATATCTTATGTATACAAAAATCTGTGTGTCTGTCTGTTTGTTCATTATCTAACTACTCCTAGGTTGCTGGGCCAATCTCAATCAAACTTTGTGGGACGTTAGTTTCGAACAAGCGGCTTGTTATTAGGAGATCTGAATCAGAGACAAAATTCGATCTAAATTAGAATTTAAATCACAATTGAAT